ACCCACCCACCCTCTCTGTGAGGCCATGGCCAGAGCGTGCTGCTCCCACCAGACAGAGCTGTGAGATGCCATTGAGGACTGAGGGGTCCCCAGGGCCAGCCTGAGCCCCCCACGGACAGCGGTGTCAGCCGGGGGTGCTGGGCATCCTCCGTGCACGTGGACACAGCACAGCTCACAACACTGGTGATGGAGCAGGCAGCAGCGCAAGGATTTTTACCCCCCAAGGATGCTGGGATCCCACCCCAGGTCACCTCCTGGGGTTGTCACCTCTGCCAAGCAGCGGCTGTGCCGGGAAGGTCGCATCCTGCTGGGATGCAGGGAGGGCGCGGGGGGGGCACCCTGCGAAGGCCCAGTCGGGCTCTGGGCTGTGTTTCAGGCACAGCCTGTGCCATGGGTTAGTTAACGGCGCTGTCAAGCTCAGTCTTTTGCTGTAAATAACTGTTGGCTGGTGGAAGTGAGCTGCTGGCCCATCGCGTGGGTTCTGCCCGCTGCGGGGAGGAGGAGGAGGAGGAGGAAGGCACCGCGAGGAGCCCCGTGTGAGGTGGGACACGTGCAGACAAGCAGAGGGTGATGGGTGGGTCCCCTGGGCAGCACTGGGGTCACACCCTGCTCCCACCTGCCTGGGGGGCTGCTCCCACAGGGGGGGATGGTGTTGGCAGGGGTCCCTTTGCAGGAGGTCTGGCTGTCCCTGGCGCAGGAGGACACCGTACGTTGGCAGGCACAGGCTGTGACTCAACGGCTCCGTTTCATCTCTCAGATCTTTTGCTTTTTTTCTTTAATCCACTTGCCTCATTGACTTTATTTTACAATCCGTCGCTGGGTTCACTGAAGAGCACTTTGGTCATTAAGCACGTTGGGGCATGTGAATAAACCTGCATCTCTAAACTGTAAATCGCTTTAAAGCCGGGCTCAAATCACTGCCTGGGATGCGAAGGGCACGGCATGACCCTGCGTGTCCCTCCTGCCGCCCCACGCCTCTGTCCTCCCCATTTCGGAAGCTTGGAAGGGGTGAGGCCACCCAGGGTGTGCGGGTCTGAAGCCCCATCTTTTTGCAGGACCTTTAATGTGTCCCGGTCCCCGTTCCCCTCCGCAGACGTGGACACGTCAGGGCTTCCCTCGCCCTTTGCCGGGGTTTGAGGCCGGGCTGATCCTTGCCTGAGCGCGTGTGCAGGGACAGCGCAGTGAGGTGCTAAGGCGGCCGCGCTGGGACCGGTTCCTGCAAACAGGCTCTAGCTCTCTAGCTGCATTTTTCTAAATCCAGCCCGTCGGATGGGAAGCGTTTCGACAGTAAAAGCGGAATTGGGGCATGTCTGAGCAGGGCGAGGGGTCTGAGGGAGGGACACCCGGGAGAGGGAGCAGCAGGGAGGGATGAGTGCTGAGCGAGCCATAACGTGAGCGCTGCCAGAATCGTTTCCCTGCCTGTTGGGTTTCCTTTCCTGTTTGGCTTTGCTGCCCACACAGTTTGTGCTCAAGCTGTCTGTAGACGCGATGCTCCCATCCTCCGCAGCCACCAGGCCTGGTTCTACCCCTGCGCTTTGCTCCGGTCCTTGCAAACACGTGTTGGGGGGTCGGGGCAGGAGGCAGATCTCCATCTCCAGATGCACAGACAATCATCGTTCCTGCTGCAAACTCGGTGCCTCCTCCTCTGTTTGCTCTGGATTTTTCTTCCCAGTCTGCTGCTGAGTGTGGAGGCAGCTCGTGCCCTTGTTCCAGCGCCTGATGTATCCCCCCCCCTTGCTCTCCTGGGGTGTTGCGGTGAGCTCGGGGAGAGAACAACAACGCGGGGGCTGGTGTCCAGGAGGCACCAGTGGCCTCGGGGCTCGCAGTGTGTGGCCTGGCTGTGCTGCTGCTGCTGCTTGTCCTCCCGGGGCCGGAGCGGTCCAGGGCGTGGGGAAGCAGCTGCTGCCTCGTTGGGGAGCGTGGGGTTTGTGGGAGGCAGCCGGCCCAGGGAAAAAAAATAAATTGCACCTGGGATATCACTCTCCGTGGAGGTTGAGTGCTGGGGGATGTGCGGATGGTGGGGAAGGAGGGAGGTTTGTCCTGAGTGGGGTTTGTTCAGGTCACTGGGGTCCGGGGAGGATGGTCCTTCAGCGGGGGCGTCTCTGGGACAAAACAGTGCGTCCGTCGTGCGGTGTGTGGTTAAACCGGGGCACAAACCCGCCTGGGTTCCATATCCCCACCGGAAGGGTGACACGAACACCGTACCTAATCCACCCAGTAAGGACACGCTGCCGGCCCTGCCGCGGCAGGAGGACGTCCCGCAGCAGCCGCCCGGGCTGGACACATCATCCCCGTTCCCGGTGCTTCCATCCCCACGGCTCCCACCCGGCCTCGTGCTCCCGCCGCATCGCTCGGACCGCGCTGGCCGAAGGGCTTCTCCGGGGTGGAGCCCATCAGGAAGCGCCTTTGATCTCTGGGCGCTAACACATTTTCAACCAAGCCGCAGAAATGATTGCCCTCCTCCCCCGCCGGGGAGGGGAGATAACACATCAGAGCCTGGGCGCGTAGCTGCGATAGCTGCTTTATGGAGCTTTGATTGCTTCCAACCAAGCTGCTCGCTCCAAGGGAACTTCAAACGCAGCGCCCTGGACCTGCAACGCCCTGGGCAAAGAGTCCCGAGCCGGGCTTTCTGCACACACACGGCCTGTGCGCGCCGACGCCCAGAGCTCCCTGACAAGGCTTTTTGCCCTGTCACATCTTCACGCCAGCCGCAGGTAGTTTTTGATAGAGCTCCAGGGCCCGCTCAGGTGGGTGCGAAGTTGGACGCAGTGAGGTTGGATCCTCTGGACCTTCTCAGTGGGTGGCTCTGGGGTGCCACCGCTGATGTGTGACCTCCCTGCCCGGTCCCAGACCGCGCTGCGCGGCGGTCCCTGGGCATTTGGGGTTAGTGCCCTGCAAACCCCAGTGATGCTGGTGAGGCGGGGAGATGCTCGGAGGAGGAGGAGGATGAGGAGGGAGGATTTGCAGCCGCTCTCGGCGCGTTCGCCAGCAGCGTGGGAGTTAACAGGCAAAGTTGGGGGAAAGAGGAGGAAAGGGTTCGGACCTCCTCCGCTCCCCCCTGCCGTCCCCCTTGGCTGCTGCAATTTCATTGAGGCTGTGTATTGGCCTCCTGAGGATGGAGCTGGGCAACACCACAACATAAACAGAACATCTGGAAGCTCTTAAAGGGTTTTATTTTTTAACACATTTACAAGAGCCAGGGACACTTGCGCACAGCGTTTTGCGAACGCGGAGACGCCGCGCTCTTTCTTTCCCAAAAAGCCCAGGGCTGATTGTCAGGCTTTCCCCTGGGGAAGGGGCACGGGGGCTGGTTTATACCTCCACACCATATTGCTGAGGGTGTGATATCTCGTCCAGGAGGTGCCAATCTTGCTTGCATATTCCTTGCAAAGTCCAAAGCAAACAGATGATAAGTGTTGCACGATTAAATGAGTAGAAACCTCTACCCTTCTTTCCGCGTGCCCCGAATCAATGCTGGAGCAGGACGGGGAGTCAGGGGAGGGTTTGCTTGGGAGAAAAGCTGTTTAATGGTCTTATGGAGTGAACAGGGTGGGAATCAAAGAGGAGAGCAAATGATTAATCTCCCCAAATGGGCCAAGAGCTTGTCTAAGCCAAATGGGAGCTGCTTGTGCCATGCTTAACGGTGGAGTTTGGATCCTGCAGTACGTCGCAGCTCATCTGAGAGCTTGTAGGTGGGGAGCCCACCGACAGAGTGATGAATGAGATCCATTCCTACTCTGGTGACAGTGTTTGCTCTTGGACTGTGTTTTTTCTCTCCCCATCTCCTTCCAAATGTTTGTGGCTGCTTGGGAAAAGGAGCCTCTTTCTGCTGGCTCTTCCAGGGCCACCCAGGACAGCAGTGAGGGCACGGGGATGGGCACAGGGCGGCCACAACCTCCTTGGTAGGCAGAGGAGAAAGAGCTGAGGCCGAGCTGCCCATACCTCCCGTGGGCAGCGCTCCTCCCTGTGCCGTCCTCGGGGCTAGCACCGCGTCCCAGCTCGGCGCTGGGATGTTTAATCAGTGGCTTGAACATCCCTTGGACCACGTAACGCAGCCCACGAGCTGCTTTCCCTTCCTCTGTGTTCCCAGATGCTGGTGTTTTGTCTGCCGCACGGAAATGGCCTTTGGATTTTCTTCCCTCAGCCCCCGGCTGTGTCTCTTGCCCACCCTGGCGCGATCCTGCACCCCCTCTGATGTCTCCTGATCCCATGGGAGCCCAGCCTTGGGGCTGCTGTTGGGCTCTCTGGAGTGATCCAGCTGAGGAACCGCTGGTTTTCCCGCCGATGTCGGCAGCACATCCTCCGCTCTCGGCACCCGAACGGCAGCGCCGGCGGCTCAGCTGTCACTGCGCGTCGCTGCGGGGGGAAAGCTGCTCCCCGCCTGCTCAGACCTGGCCTCTGCCGCCACAGCGGGTCCCCACCAGCCCCAGAGGCTGCAGCCAGGGCCAGGCCAGGCTCCGGGGAAGGACTCCAAAGCACGGGGCCCTCAGTGAGCTCAGGCACCAGTGTGGAGGTGCTTTTAGGGGAGGTGTTGGGGCTGCTGGTGCATTCAACTCCTCTTTTACACATTGCTCCAGCTGTTTAATTTGGTAACAAAGAGGAATCACGAGTTGCTTCATCACAACCTACCAGCCTGCACCTTCCGTTAACGCTGTGTTTTCCCTTCACAGGGTCCGTGGTGAAGGCTCGGGGTGCGGGGACCTGAGGGGAGACAGCCAGGGTGCTGGAGCACTGATCGTGGCCGGAACGCCCAGGAGCACCCTCCGGAGGATGGGCACTACAGCTGTGAGGACATTGAGAGGGACAGCGGGGACCAGCAGCTCGCCGGGGAGTGATGGAGCACCTGGGGCTGTGGTAAGCTCCTCCACCCACCACCCACCACCGAAAACAGCTTCCCCACCAGTTGCCCCTGTACATGTACTGGGCTCCACGTCCCCAGCCTGGTGAGGGGGGTTTCCTCCCGGCGCTGACCTTGCTCTCGACTCCCACGCGGAGCTGAAAGGACTTAATTAGCTGCTCTCTGCTGGGCTTTGGAAATTATCCTCTTGGCTGGGAAGTGCTGGTGATGGATGGCGAAGTGCTCTTGGGTCAAACAGTAGCTCGATGCTTTTCCCTGTGAAGGACCAAGTGCTTGCCCAGTTCCAAGGAGTCAGCTGTGGATTTTATTTTTGTTTTTCTTTTTTTACCCCTCTCCTCTTCTTTTTGATGCCTTCTGGGGCCTCGGGCTTTTTGTGAGGACGGCTGGACCCAGCCTGAAGCATGTGGCGTTCACAAAGTGCCAATGCCTGTGGTGGGAGCTGGAGGGGCCAAAGCCTTCGGAGGAGCCTTGGGGTGGAAGCTGCGCTGGCGATCGCAGTGCCCTGGGGTTTAAAACTGTCTGGCAGAGTCTCATCTCATGCCAGGGGTGTTGGGTGGCCTCGGGGGGGTGCGCACCCTCGTTCCTGGCACATCCCACGTGGAGCCCAGCCCAGGTGGGGCTGAGGAGCGGGCGCAGGAGCGGGGGATGCCAAACCGCAGCAAGGGGAATGTCAAGATGGGGGAAAATGTCACCCTCAGAAACAATTAAACTTCTTAATAAAACCCATTGCCTCTGTGAGTGCTCAGTGTTCTTTTCCGTTTGCCTTGGCTCAGCCACACTTACATCATGGCCCTATCGCGGGGCTGCCGAGGGGATGCGTTTGATTGTACAGGAAACCAGCGCTTTGGCAAACTTCTCTGCCCTAACGAAGCCAGGCCAAGAGTTTAATGCCTTTGCTTTGCAGGAAAATTCTCCCTTGTCCTTTCCCCCCTTCCCTTTCTGCAAACCCTTAACCATCACCACCCGACTGCATGGCTCGGCGAGCCGCCCCTAGCATGCCTCCTGCTCCAAAAGTGCCTGAAATGCAAATTAATTCCCCTGAAATCGTGTGTTGTTTCATGTCCCTGGACTGCGTGTTCCCTCCCACCCTGCAGACTTGATGCAAAGTACCAGAAGGTGCCATGTAGAAATGCAACATAAAAAGGATATTTATGTAATGGAAAAAAAAAAAATTAAAAAAGATTTAGACTATTATAAAAAAAAAAGTGTCCTTTCACCTAAAAATCATGAGCATGGATTCAATGTGTCTGGTGCACAGCCACGGTGACTCGATGTCAAACTCACTGGTGTAACTGGTGGGATCTCTGCATAACCCTGACTTTGTTTCTCGGCGCGGTGAGTCCTCCGCTGGGACAAACTTGCAGAGACTTGGTCAGAAACACAGAATTTTGGGTCCTTTCCTTTGAAAGCCATTACTCAGCTCAGAAGCACCTTGGGAGAGTTTAAGAACCGTGTTAGGCCCACGGGTGAAGACGACGAGAGAACGGCAAAGCCCAGAGATGCATGAAACTTCACTCGCCTTTTGGCTTGGTAATAGGTTTTGGGAGATCGTAACACAGCTGATGTCAAGCTCATTTGCATTAATTAAATGACCCCCGAGGTGCAGGTGAGGAGACGGCAGCCAAGGCTGGTACCTGCATGCCGGTGCGGCCCCAACGGCGCGCATGGATGCACTGGAGCGTGGGGGGATGGAGGTGATGGTCTGTCCCCGCTGCTCTCATTTCAGGATTGGTCCATGGCCGAGGGTGACTCTGCTCTTCCTTTTCTCTGGGTGGAAAGTGGATCCTGTGGGTGCCAGGGGCGATTTGGATGTGCTCACCGTGCCACGGCAGTGCCGGACGTGGTGCCTTCACGTCTCCGGGCACAGCGGACCCTCGGCAAGCGAACCAGCACAGGAGTCAAACTGGTGTTACTGGGTGCCCTGACCTCTCCCCTGACAGTTTCTCCTCCCAGGTGAAGCCGGGGCCGTGCCCCAGACAGCAGCAATGCGGAGGAGCAGTCCTGGGGCAAATTATAGGGTTCCCACCCATGAGTCAAAGCTGGATTTTCGGGCTAGCTCTGAGAACCATTGTCTCAGCTTGCTGGGGAGCTGCAGCGTCCCTCTCCTGCTGAAAATACAGACTGTGGCTATGGGGAGACCCCGCAAGTGATGGTCCCACGGTCACCCCGCCCCAGGCAGGGTGTAAGAAGCAGTGCTGGCTGACGTGGTGCTGCCACGTGCGATAATATTCCCCGTTGTCTGGCCCCGCCACGGGCCAAACTCTTGTTTTCAGCTCCGTGTGCCCACACAGGAGAGCTGAGGTGTGAGGAGGTTGAATTCCCACGGCGAAGGCAGAGGCTTTGGGTCCCTCGGACCTGTCCCCCCAGGTGCATGCTGGCGATGCCACGGCCACTGCTCACACCGTGACACCCTTGGCTGTGGGTGCTGCCCGTCCTCCGGCCCCGGGAGCGGAGGGGGGAGCTCAGCGCTCGGATGCGGATCTTTTGGAGTTCATAACTAATATTTACCTCAAAGGCCGGTTGCCTTTAGTGTGGGTCAGTTGTATAGTCCCGGCTTGTTTAGAGACGGCGAGCAAACAGAAAGCCAGGCCGTTAAAAAGGGGAAGGGTGTGGGACCTGTATTGCTATTTACCTGTGTAACCAGGAGGGAAACCTGCCTGTCATTCTTCCTAATAAATACAAACTGGAAGCACGGATAAACTCATGGGGATTTATTAGTTTGCTTTACCAAATGCAAATATTAAGACTAGTTGGTTCAGCCCAAGGGCTGCCTTTTGCCTTTTGTGTGCACTGCAGCGGCTGGCGCCTATGGGTGCTGATAAGGGTGTGCTCTGTGCTTCGCCAGTTACGCTCAAGGAGTTTCTTTCCAGCTGCTCCCGGCTCCCTTCTGCTCAGGCCTGATCCTGCGAGGGGCTGAGCACCTGGCAGGATGCAGGGGGTAGCGCTGGCAGGGTTTGTCCTGCTCCCACCTCCCCAGCCCTGACCTGCAGCATCTCCCCGTGCCGGGCGAGCTCCCCGCCGGCGTGTCCTGACCCGCCGTGTGCCCTGATGACAGTTTTTGGTGGCGTTTGGATTTGTAGGGCTGACCCGGAGCAGGCAAAATCTCCCTGAGCTTATTTTCACTGTGAAGGGTAACACACGATCCTGCCCTATTGATTATGGCCCCCCTTTTTTTTTTTTTTTTTTTTTTTTTTTTTTTTT